TCATGTATTTTAGGAGTTGTGGACTCTTTTTTAGGAGACAATTTTGGTTTTTTTTCGCTCAACATATTTAACCAATTATCTCTTTTAATTTTTGTTTTTGTTCAAAACATTTTTTGTATCCTAAAATTGAAAAAATAATTGAAATGATGGACGCTTAGATTTTTTTGTTTGATTATTATTTAGTATACTTTTTGTTAGATAATTATTTTGTATACATTTGAATTTGTACATATTGTTGATTAGTGATAATGGTACATTTATTGTTGGTTATCATATATTCGTTTTGTATTGATTGGTACGTTTAGTTTTAATTTTTGGGTGTACATATCGTTGATTGGTACGTTTAGTTTTAGCTTCTGGTACGCTTTATTTTAGCTTTTGGTACATTTAGTTTTGTTCTTGTTGATTGATAGGTTTTTTTTCATGATTTTGTTACTATTGCTTTTGTATACATTATGGATTGTACCATTTAGTATCATATGGGTACGATTAATATTATACATATTGTTGATTGGTCCATTTACTTTTGTTCTTCAACGTTGTTTACTAGTACGTTTATTTTCGGTTTTACTAGGTTTGTTTTCACACATACATATTTTTTATTGGTACGTTTATATTATTCTTGATGTTATTTTCTTATATGAATTACTACAAAAAAAATTTATATGAATTACTACAAAAAAAATTTATATGGATTACTAAAAATATCTTAAATGGTATTTTATTTCTTCATTGAAAGGGAAAAAAAATAATCAAACAGCAAGGTATTTTATTCCTTAATAAATTGTATATAATCATTTTTTGGGTCTAATTATCTTTAGAGGGAATCAAAGGAGCTAGATTGTGGGAATTTGTTTCAATATCTCTACATTTTTTCCTGACATGAAGAATTTAGGCAGTGGTAAGATCTGTAATTTTGGTACAAATAAAGGATATTTATGATAGATGAGACTCCAAATTTGTAGGAAAAATGTTTAATTAAATCTCTAAAACCAGCAAATGTTTAGTGTCACAGCCCGTCCCGAATTACTACTATCGAAGATGTAAAATGACGGTCTTATCTTTGGACGTTGAAATTGTAGTGTGTGTGTGACATACTTTGGGGACTTAGATGTTAATTTTTGTGGTTTTGGATTGGTGACCCACGTGGACCACACACACACACACACTATCCCTCTCTCTTTTCTCTCCCGTACCCTCTTACCCTCAGACTCCCTCTCTCTCCTTCCCTTACGTACGGATGAGCACCAAACTCACACTTCATGCATGGATCGACGTTGTTAAGGTGATATTCTTGTTCCCTACAAGCTCCTGAGTTCATATATGTCATTTTTAGGACTTGAAACCGTGAAATAACCCGAGAAACCATAACCTCCGATTTGAGGTACTATTCATGTAAACGTAAAATCTTATGTTTTTTGGGATTTCAAGCTTATAGGTAGCTGAAAGAGGTCCTCACGAGGCTAGGAGTGGTTCGTTGGAAGAATTTGGACGTCGGAATAGCGAGAACGGCGAGTTGCAGGTTTGGTCGGAATATCGAGGAGTTTTCCGGCGAATCTTGTGGGATTTAGGTCCTAAAACTGGTATGAGTTTGTTCTAATTGTTCTAAGCTTCATTTTGACATAAAATTCTTGAAATTTGGTTGAATTTCGAGTGAGATATCAAGGTTTCAAGTTTTGCTCAGTTTCCGGTGCCGGCGACCTTCATTGGAGGTTCGAGGTTAAGGATGACGGAATATTCCAATGGGGTTAGTTAACTTTAATGGATTCCGTTACTATTTAACGGAATATTCCTAACGGCGTCACTGTTGCCGTTGGTGTGCCAAGCACGAGCCTGCGTGTGGGCGGCGCGTTGGGCTGTGCCTTGGCCGACGCGTGGGTGGTCGAAAATTTTTTCTAAAAATATAGGGATGTTCGTGGAGTTGTGTAGATCACATTGGTATATTCAAACACCCCATTTGAGTATTGTATGAGAACTTATTAGCTAGTTTTGTCTATGTGCTTTAAATAACGTTTTTATAGTTAATTCGCATATTGGTGAGACTTATCCCGAGGACGAACGTGTTCAAGGGCAACTCGGGAGCTACCAGTGAGTGGGCTTTTGGTTTTTAGTATATTTTTATATACTTGATATTTTTCCAGAAAATATGTTTAAATGAGATTATGCCTTGAATGCCATGCATATGAATTTATATTTTGTATATGAATTGGTACATGATGCATTATATATAATTGTGGTTCTGTAGACACTCAGGTAAGCTCAAATGAGTTATGTTTGGTTATGTGAATTATCGATGATGTGATATGTGATTGAATAATGTTGAGCTCATAAAACTGCACCTAAGGTGATTGTGATTTAGCTAGAGATATGGCACAGGCCTGTTTATAATGTCACCTCCCGCACCATATGCTCATATTGGATCTAATTTAGGTGCATAGTCTTGTCATACAGACCTTTACTATGGTTCCGACTCGTAGGTGACCGGCGATTTATCGCCCAGCTATTATGTGAGAGTAGTATTGAGCATAATTATATTACACCCAATATTGTCGTACAAACATTTTCATTTGGTTCCGACTCTTGTGCAGTATAGTGTCATATAGGTCATTGTAGTGACTCCAGCTAGATTGACTTTTGAGCTATGAATTCAGCCGTATAGACTACCACAAGAGTTGCGGCTAATGTGTTATATTTCTATGAAGTTATTCTCACCTGAATTTACTTACTCTGTTACATCTTGGCATGGCATACATGTGAATATGATTATGTGAAGCATGAGTTGAATTGATATATTTACATATATATTTATGTTTATGCTTATATTTTAATTCTGGGAAAAATTATACATGTTTTACAGCGAGGGGGTTAGAAATGTTGACAAATGAAATGGTTTTGTAAAACATTTGTTTTTGCTCACTCATGTTTTCTGTTTTGCGCCCCTCTAGGTTTTAGGTAAGCTTGCTGTTGGTGGCCTTGAGGACTTCGGCGGTTCTAACATAATAAAATAATTGTAGGACATCTTATGGTACTGTATAACTAATACTTGTCCTACTGGACTGCACCTAGACTTGTTATGCTCTGATTAGGAGTATTTGCTTTTGTATCTTACTCCTAACACTTCCTATTTTCTAGTGCACTCTAGTAGTTTCGGTTTTTAATCATTCATATACTTCTTATCCTTATTGCTTCCGCACTATGCACATGGTTATGTCACCCTCACGTGACGGCCAGCATGCCTTGATCTCGGTCGGGGTGTGTCATTTAGTCTATAGAGTTGAAAACTCAGACACTTATATCAAAACGTCCCTTGTTATTAGCTCTCATTATTTTTTGTTGGTTTGTTGGGAGCTTGCAGCTTTGGCTTTGAAGGTAAAAAATAATTGATTTGTATCTTCGTAATTTTTTTATATAATTTTTTTTTGTTTTGGTCTATGCCTCAAGTTGTATCTCCAAAGCCAAAACAAGGGAAATACGAAATAGGACAATACGAGGTTGTTGCTGTTGTTCTTCCAAATGAATTATGTAAGAACTTCTAAGAAAAATAGCTCACAGATCATTTTAGAAGGGAAATTTTATTTGAATTTATATAATCTCTTTTTACACAGAGCTCACTCTTTACACCCATATTAATTTTAATGAAATTGTCAATATCTTTTAGACTCATATTTACTACCTAAACTACCCTTAAAAACTCAATTCAATTTGTAATTTATCTTACACCCATTTAAAAAATAAAAAGCCAAAATCAATGCATTTTCTACACATTCTCTCCTTCCAACAGTTGCTTTTGATGGAGTCTTCATCAACCTCTACAACGTTGTTCTCAATAAAGCTCAGGTTACCTTATGTGACGATGTATGTTGCATATGAATTTGAGTTTTTATGTTTTGGTGATATAAAGACTTACATTGCTAGATGAATCATGTCTTATTGGATAAATTGAAGGAAGTAGAGGAAATTAAAAGACGTACACGCACACATACGAATGAGAAGGCCACTTCATTTGCCTACAAAATAATACTGAACACCAGAGAGAGGACAATCGGTTGTCTTGTGAATGAAGCAAAGCTGACCAGAGGCCAAAGAGAACAAAAGAATAGGGAAACTTGCAGAGGCAGCAAAGTCATGACGTTATATATGACATATAAAACAATAATTCAATTCTTGCATAAATCCATTCATACTTAGTTGAAGGATCCAAAACTTTAAGATTAACGTTCACCTGTAAAAAAAAGGTTTGCTTTTTCTATGTGGGAGAGTCTTAGGGTTTTTGTCAGAACAGAACATAGAAGAAAAATTACGTGATAGTTAGGGCTTGATTATTGCGGTGGGTTTACTAATAAATCTTTTAATTTTCTTGTTAATTTTATACAATAGGGTAATAAAGAAATTTCACATTTAAAATTTAAGTTGGGTGTAAAAAAATATTAGATGAGTTCAAATAAAATTTCCCATTTTAGAATTAGAAGAAAAACAATATTCAGTAAAATAACAGCAACCGAACTGAAACCGAACCAAAAAAACCGAAACCAAAAAACTAAATAAAAAAAACTGAACGAAATTGAACCCACCCGAACTACAAGTTTACGTCAGTTTTCAATTTTGACAAAAAACTGAACCGATTGAAATCGAATCCGCCTAAAGTTCCACTTCCTCAAGTTAGCAGGGTATGTCCCACCCCAACGGGTGGTTAGCAAATCCTCTTGTGAAATCACAAATGAAATGAGGATGGAGTATTAAGCTGTTCCAAAAATATAAAATAAAGTAAGATGCCGTTAAAAAACTATAATAAACATAAAAAGTCTACTACTCTCACCACACCCCAAACTCCATACACCCTTCATCTCAAATCGTTACTAACCACAAACCACAACGACCGTGGTCATCGCTACCAAAACCAACGGTGATCCTTAACGATAACACGAAATCATAATACACCGCGATGGTCGCTACCTTTTTTCTGGATTTAATTAACGATTAAATTTAATAAATTACTCACTTTAATTATTATATTTCTCAACACTCACCAGAGGCACACTTTACCGCTCACTCCAAAACATTTCTTCCGTGCTCGGCATCTTTTCACCTTCCTCGCTCCGCCGTGCCGGAGAGGGACAGACAGACACTGAGTTTCCAGCTTTCCTCCAAGCGACGTCGTTTCTGGCTCTACGTACACTGCCGCGCTGTAAGTAATTAGGGTTTCTGCTTTAGTCAGTTTAGTGGCTTGAATTTCTCTCGAGCTTCAGAGAATTGAATTATTTGAAAATATTTTGCATTTCCGCTGGGAAATTACGGCTCCGTCACGGATTTTGAGCTTGTGTTTTCTCCGCCATTGTGTTTGATTAGCTTAATTTTTTGTATTTTCTTTGTTTAAATAGTAGTAATTTCGTAATTGTAAGAAGTTAATGTTGTTTGGTGGTGGGAGTGAAATTTTATTGAATTTCTGATTTCTTTTGGATTTGAAGATATTTACTTTATGCAATTGAATTTGTCGAAATGGGTTACCGAATTTCGTAGATCTGAGCTGTGAATTTCTCTATTTAGTAAATAATCTTTGCAAATAAAAAAGCAGTTGGCTTTCGAAAGTTTTGGTGAGGTTTGTTCCTTTCCACATAAAAAGCCAACATTTATAATCGGAATGTGTGACCTCGACAGTAGTTCGTGAATCAGAATTATGGTTGTTTATGCATGCTTGTCAACACATGAGTAATGGGTTCCCCACCTACTGATAATTCAAATTTACGTTGTTATGCGACGTACATTTATGTAATTAATTGTCTATTGTATTTGTTCTTGGCAAGAGCTAATGACAAAATGCTTGGAATATCTATACAGGTTCTTGTTGGCATAATTTGCATTGAATCGCTCCTCTGGGACTCCTGCCTAAATGAGTTATCGCTGTCTGTTTGAGTTTTGTCATACAGAGGTTTTATGGATACAGCCACTGGATTACTTCTCATTGTTATGAATATATGAGTTGCGTACCTGGTCATTAAAAACGTCTAAATGCGATAGCTTATCTTTAACCAAGGAGAGTAATTTATCTCGGGATCTGCTCTTTTTGACTGTAGTTTCACTATATAAGCATGCCTTCTTGGTGGAGGAAGTCTTCATCCAAAGAAGTGAAGAAGAAGAAAGCTAATCGGGAGAGTTTCATCGATACCATAGCAACCATACACCGTAAACTTAAGAGTTCGTCCGAAGAAAAGTGCAATGGTAGATCAGGAGGTTCTCGAAGAAGATGCATTGACACCGTTTCAGAAATGGGTTCTCTATCTAGGGTGCTGTCACCAGCACCCTCCTCACAAGTATCACGCTGTCAGAGCTTTGCAGAAAAGCCTCATGCCCAGCCACTGCCCCTTCCTAGAGTGCAACTTTCTAACATTGGGTGTACTAACTCTGGCATCAGTGTGGCATCAAAACCAGAATCTGACAGAGAGTCCAACCAATTGTTCTATTTGCCTCTTCCAGCACCCGGATGTGTCTCAAGCAGGGAAGATCGTACCTATGCTGAAGGAGATTTAGCTACTGCTTCCATATCCAGTGATAGTTCTATTGATAGTGATGATCCGTCTGACTCACGCCTTCTAAGTCCCATGGGATCCGACTATGAAAATGGAAACAGAACAAATATAAACAGTCCTTCCTGGTAAGTTCTCATCTAAGTCATTGGAAATGAAGTCCTTATTTACGGTTATGATGCTAGATACATGATATATCATATTCACCTGTAAATGTTTCTTCTGTGTGCATGCTCATTCACCCCTGAAAATTTTACTTCTATCTTTATGTAGTGTAATACAAAAGGATCCATTCCCTATTGTGTACCAAAAGAACTCCAAAGAAACGTTGAAGCCGGGTCATCTTTTGTGCAATAATCAGATTCTGTCTACATCACCAAAATGGAAACCTTCAAGCACACATATGCAGAATATACAAATCCCTTTCCATGGTACTTTGTCTAGTGCTCCAGACAGCTCAATGTCGAGTCCTTCTAGGAGTCCAATTAGAGTGTTCAGTGTTGAGCAAGTTAGGAACTCTAGTTTCTGGGCAGCAAAGACTTATCCAGATATAGCTTCTACCCACTGCTCTAGTCCAGGTTCAGGCCAAAATTCTGGGCATAATTCAGTTGGAGGGGATATGTCAGGACAGTTGTTTTGGCAGCACAGTAGGTGTAGTCCTGAATGTTCTCCAATACCCAGTCCTAGAATGACTAGTCCTGGTCCCAACTCCAGAATACAAAGTGGTGCTGCTACCCCTCTGCATCCTCGATCCGGAGGGCCAGCCGCAGAGTCACCTACAAGCCGGCCTGATGATGCGAAGCAGAAAAGCCATCGGTTGCCCCTTCCTCCAATAACAATAACTAAGACCTGTCTTTTTTCTCCTTCATATTCAGCTACAACAACTCCCACAGTTCCACGTAGCCCTAATAGGGTAGAACATCCAACAAGCCCTGGCTCACACTGGAAGAAGGGGCGCCTGCTTGGAAGGGGCACATTTGGACATGTATATCTTGGTTTTAACAGGTTTGTAGCCGAATGCCTTCAAATCAGCTCTGTTAATTGATTGAGCATTTTACAGTAATATCCAATTCTTAGCATGTATTGTATTGACACAAATTTCCTATTCTCAACTAAGAATTGTAAGCTAAGTCACATGTGACAGATTTTTAAGTCTAAGCTTTCCAAAATTACAGTTTTCCTGTGCTTGTAATCAGACAATGTTTGTGAAATCTGAATTTAAAAATAATGATTTGTGGTTGTCCACCCTTATTAAGTACTGCACACTGCACACATTCTTTGTTATTTTGAATGTCTAGTTTGATTCAGTTTTCGGGCTTCAGTGAAAGCGGTGAGATGTGTGCAATGAAGGAGGTAACTCTATTTGCAGATGATGCAAAATCAAAGGAAAGTGCACAGCAGCTGGGCCAAGTAAGTCTTTTTCGTACTGACTCAGTAGATCTGTTCAAAGCTTTGCCATTGTAAAGAATTAAATATTTCTTAGTAAATATTTTACTGATAAGTTTTACATATTTTCCTTTTAAGGTTGAGGATAGTTTATACTCACAAGTTGTGTTTCCAGGAAATTGCTTTGCTAAGTCGCTTGCGACATCCAAATATAGTGCAGTATTATGGATCTGAGACGGTGAGTTCCTTGTATTATTTTGTAATCTCTAGATAGCTTTTGGTGCTTAGGTGAGTCAACATTGGCTGTTCACACATTTGCCAGTAAACATTTTAAAATAATTTGGTTATTTCTATTGTTGGTATGTGGTCATGTGTATAATTGAACAGGTAGATGACAAGCTTTACATATACTTGGAGTATGTGTCTGGTGGGTCCATCTATAAACTGCTTCAAGAGTATGGTCAGTTTGGTGAAGTAGCCACTCGTAGTTATACCCAACAAATCTTGTCAGGGCTTGCATACTTACATACCAAAAACACTGTCCACCGGTGAGTCACTTATTATTAAAACTCGATTTACTTTGAAGATCATCTATCACCCACCCTTAAAGGCCATGTTAGTTTTGATTGTTTAAGAATGTTGTTTGACCTAATGAGAAACTTAGTTTGTTCAGGGATATCAAGGGAGCAAATATATTAGTAGATCCAAATGGTCGGGTGAAATTAGCAGATTTTGGGATGGCAAAGCATGTAAGATGGTTCATTTGCAGTTTCTATCTCTATAATCATTCAATCATTTCTTTTGATAGTTTGGTTAGCATGAAACCTTGTTGTTAGCAATGAAACAAGGTCCTATAAACCAGTGTGTTATGAGAGTGAAACAAGCCAAAAGAAACACTGTGAAATGGGACAATTGATAAACTCATCCAAGTTGTGTTAACATTTATTTTTTCCTATAAACCATGAATCTGAGTGTTGTGATTGATCTCATCTGAAATGATTTGTAGATAACTGGGCAGTCTTGTCCATTATCGTTCAATGGAAGCCCATATTGGATGGCGCCTGAGGTTAGCACAGTTCCTTTTTCTGCGCTTGCATCACTTTTTTCATATGGCTTTATGGTAACATTACCTGCTTGAGTGCTTCAGGTTATCAAGAATTCAAACGGTTGTAATCTTGCGGTTGATATATGGAGCCTTGGCTGCACTGTTCTTGAGATGGCCACAACAAAACCACCTTGGAGCCAATATGAAGGGGTTAGTAAGATTGAATTCAGAGACTTGGGTATTATGCAATACTCGGACGTTATACATTTCTCATTGACTGCATGGCAGATATTCCTCAATGACCTTATCCTCCTTGTTTTGTGTGCTTCAAAGGTTGCTGCCATGTTTAAGATTGGAAACAGCAAGGAACTTCCTGAAATTCCTGATCATCTGTCAGAGGATGGGAAGAACTTTATTAGGCTTTGTTTGCAACGTAACCCACTGCATCGTCCCACAGCTGCTCAGCTTTTGGAGCATCCTTTTGTTAGGAATGTTGCTCCACCGGAAAGAACCATTTCTAGTGCAGAGCATTCTAAAGGACAAGCTGCAATGAGATCTCAGGTAGAAGCATGCCAAAATAAAAAATCTCACTGAAGATATTAAAAAAGTATTTCGGTTACTTTCAGACTTCAAATTTGTTGTCTTTGATGGCAACCAAATATTAACTTTTCGTTGCTTATCAACTTCAGAGTGCAGTTAGATGACCTCATGATATATGACATTAGAACTTTTAGATGACCTCATGATATATGACATTAGAACTTTTATATCATGAGAACATTTTGTTTCCCGTCCTTTCATATTGTTTTTCCATGTTTATTACCTTGTATAAGATGAAAACCATGCTCTGCTGACACCCAACATTATAAGGTTTTACAGTACCCCAAAATCTAAATTTACATTACATTACATTTTTTGTCCGTATGTTGGATGTGCTGTGGGAAACAGATATTATGGTGCTCTGTATACTTGTAAGTAGTCATGTGGACAAAGAGCTATATGTTATTTGGAGACTAATTATTTTCAGTTGATTAATGCTGGCATATTTGGTGCAGAACATACAAAATTTCATGTTTGTCTGCTTTATCAGTTGTAAAGTTGATGCATTTCCTTTTCTTGTATTCTTTTAGGCATTTGGACATGGGAAAAATCATTTGAACTTAGAATCAGAACGGATGGGCATGCATCAGTCCAGAGGCTCAACAACTGTTTCTGCGTCAAGGTCTCTCTCCTGTCTTCTCAATAATATCTTTATCACGTGTACGTGGGTGGTTTTAATTAGTGACCAAACTATTACGTTATCAAAACCTGGTCTGTACCTTGTTTTTGCTTCCAACTCATACATGCAACCAACATTATTAAGCTTAATACGCACGCTTGTACTTTTTCATTAAAGAATCCTTTGCATATGATTGAACAGTTCATTTCGGAAGGGGCAATGACAATACCTTTATAACCGTATAATATTGAAGTAAATGTGAGAAAACCTATCAGTAATATCAATGCCACCTGGGTCAATAAGGACTGATTTGACTACTAGTTACTCATTGTTTCATTATATTCTTAACTTCTCCGTTTCCTTTTTGGATCCCAGTGATGCTTATTCACCGAAAAATGTATCATGTCCAATTTCTCCTATTGGAAGTCCGCTTCTACATTCTAGATCACCACAACATGTCAGCGGAAGGATGTCCCCCTCTCCCATATCTAGCCCTCGTACCACATCCGGTTCATCTACGCCTCTCACCAGCTGTTCAATCCCTTTTCAACACTTGAAGCAGCCAACAACCTACTCACTTGCAGGCACAGGGATGACCCAGAGATCTCAAAACTGTGGTTTCCATACAAATGGCAACATGCCATACCATGAGCCAAAGCCAGACCTATCTCAAGGATTTCCACAAGGCTCTTATGCTTTCCGGGATATATTTTTATCTGATAATGGTGTACTTGGAAACCAGGTCGGGCATTCAGTTTCTGGGGACCCCAAGGAGCTATTTGACGTGCAGTCTGTTTTGGCTGATCGTGTGTCTCAGCAGCTCTTAAGGGATCATATTAAGTTGAACATCCATGGACTGTAGTGCTCGATCATTGCAGTGGTACATGGTAGGTGGTTCATATTAAGCTAAACATCCTTGGACTAGTGCTCGATCATAGCAGTGGTATATGATAGGTGCATGATCCCTGGCTAGAACAGGGCTTCTAGGAATCGACAACGTGGACAAATATGCAAATGAGTTTGGATCTTCTGATACCCTGATTGCCAGAAGAGTAACATGATATAAATGGGTCTCAATGCTCTGAGTCATGTTCCAGTGGTAAGCAGTACTCAGCAGAAGAGGGTTCTAAAGCTCTATTGTGATGGCCTTTCGAGATCCAGCATTTGATAATTCCGTGTAAAGCGAACGTTTCTGCTGCTGTAAACAAGTGCACACTTTAGCATTTGAACCTGACCTTCTCTTTTAAGTTACAGGGAGAAGAAAGGGCGGCTGAGATGGCACAAATTATTGTACAGAGGGTGGGGATTTGAATTCGAGTTGATTTTGTGAAGATGGTAGTTGAGATTTGAAAGCTTTCCGGGCCAGTCTGTTCAATCCCGTATCAGTTCACGGAGCTCAGTCCGACTCTTAAGGTAGGCGGTTCGGGTTATACTGTTGTATCTAAATGTACTTGAAGTTGCATCAAATAGAAGAAATCTAATTCCTCTTGAATATCTTTCTCCAGATATCTTCTGATGACCTAATTTATAGATGAAGAACGAGACGTTCAGTGGTATTACTTATGCTCGGATAGTTAATGGTTTAGCTTAATGATAACCTGTTATGGAAGAGATTTTGGGAGGTCCAAAATCGCTTATGGGAAAAGCACATCTCTCATGTGCAAACAGGTTTTAAGATTGGTCAGAGAACGTTCACAGTTTACCGCACGCAAGACTAATTGGACATTGTAAATTATAAGAACCTTTTTAGGTATCGATCAATAGAGCGGCACGAATAGAAACGAGAAGTGATTTTTGCAAACCCTTTTTGGTTCCCTTGAACGTCCCTTTTTATTTCTACCTGAGTATTCAATAAATCATAGAGCATCAAGCAACAAGACTAACAAAGGATATGCGGAAATCATTACTTTTTATCACTATTCTAAAAACCCCTGCCTAGCACCGTTTAGATCTTGCATAGGCGTTAGACGGTTGGCCACTGTCTCAATTAATGTTTAGACGTTTGAAAATTTCAAAAGGGAGCCTAGACCTGCTGAGACGCCTGCCTAGACCACTTAGGCACCCGTCCATGCCGTCTAGACCCGCCTAGGTTGTGACTCACTTAAAAAGAAAATAGATAATTTTCATTTTGCATTATTATTATTTTTTTAATAAATTGTAAAAGACTTGTTGAATACTTAAATGAACACACATTATATGCTTGTTTCCGATGTTTTCATTATGTTTCAATACTTCATAATATATATATATATATATATATATATCATTCTATTTTGTAATTTATAATGTAATTTTATATATTTTAAGTATAAACAGACATTTATTTACACAAAATATAACAGATTTACTTAAATCCACCAAGGCCCCGCCTGGCGGCCTAGGCGCTAGGCCACAGTCCACCGCCCGACTAGCGCCTAGCACCTTTTAGAACCTTACTTTTTATAAATATATGCAAATCAAATTCAGTATTTTAGAAGAAAAACATAAAATCTCAATGCATAAAGTGAAGAATCACAAAGATCTGATCCCATGATCAGAAAGTTCAAACAGATTACAATTTTGAAGTTATGAAATTTGGCAATTGATTTGATAATAGAAAGTGCAGAAAAGAGCTACCATGACAGAAACCAGCAAGATCAACACTCTGCTACTTGGCATTGGTCAAACTCAAGCTAAAATCCCACAGTTTTTTAGCCAAATCTGCATCTTTTGCCTGAGAACTCTGTTTGCCAATGTTAGAGTCCACAAAGTATTCGCCGGATACGCCCTTAACTTGTGGGTTAAGTGCCAGATAGCATGAGGTTGCCGCACCCTACACGGACAATGTTCGATGAAATTATTCAACCACGTCGGCTATAAATGTTAACGGTACAAGATTCTGTGTACCGGAAAATGTAACAGGACTATTTGATCATCATCGCATTCCGGACAAAGGTAATTATTTGGCTGCGTATATTGTGGAAGTTCAAGGAGTACCTGAGGAACAGTTTTAGTTTTGTTGAAGAGTCCACTCACACCGAAAAAACCTGTTTCAAGGCAGTTAAAATTTCAGTTATTCAGTGGAAAACCAGACATATTAAAATTTCAGTTATTCAGTGGAAAACCAGATATACTATGGTTAAATTCGTGATACCAACGATTCTAAGGAGGTGAAAATCGAACACATGACCTCGAATTTGAGATTGAACATAGTCTTAACCAAGGGAAACATTGTTACTAAAATAATGACACTAGTAAAGTAGAGAAGACGAAGCTTACAGCTTAACAAGAGATCATGGCGCCCGATATTGGTAAAAATCATACCGGGATGAAGAGAATTACCCCTTCTTTCTGTTAAAAAAAAAAAGTTAATTACCAAGTCGACCAAGAATTACTGCAGATCAATTCTTATAGGAACAGGTTAAATATTTGCATTGGATGACTTAAAATGTTCAATACCTTGAGACGCCTTGTAAGTTCATTAGTATGTAACAAGTTAGCAAGCTTGGATTGAGCATAGGCATAATATCTGTTGTATCTGTAAATTAGCAACCAAAAGGGTTAGATAGTTGACATAATTCTCCGAAACATGCGCTTCGAAATGTTAAAAACGGATGCTAAAGTATTAAACCAGGATAGCCGAAAGAAGATTTACCCTGCTTCATCATTAATTTTATCAAAACGAATCCCTTCGCGGTACCCATCTGGATGAAGTGATGACGATACATTAACAATTCTCCCCTCTACTTTGCTCTCTCGTGACGTTCTTTTCATGGTCTCCAACACAAGTTCAGTGAGAAGAAAATGACCTGCAGATTGGATGGTTCAAGTAACAAATGAATTGGTAAAATAGAAGCAAATATTACAAAATCGATCCGTCGGTGTACAGTGTAAAGTATATATATAAAAAAAATTGTTAGGCAAACCTAGATGGTTAGTTGCAAATTGCATTTCTATGCCGTCTTTGGAAAGCTTGAATGGAGCTGCCCCTAACCCTGCATTGTTACTTACATCAAAGAAGAGAGTGAATTACTCATAATTTGTCATATTAGTATGTATGAAATGCACAAATGTTAGTAAATTATGTCTTTAAACTGATTGATTCATACTTCAACATTTTAGGTTTTTCTGGTTCGAATTGAATCGTTGTGCAATACGGTATCAGAACTCAGAACTACGCGCTATATAATTTAAATCGGTTTGTTTGCAAATAAGATATTGAACCCAATATAAACTGTCGAATTCAATCTAGTATGGCTAAAAAATATACTAAAACAGTTACTTTTCTTACACAAGGATGTTCAGTGGAAGGCCGGAGGAACAATAATCTGCTCCAAATTTTCTCACAGATTCCAATGAGCTGAGATCCAACTCCCTAACATCAATTTTTGCGTCGGGTACTTCTGTAAGGATCGCTTGTTTAACGTGTTCCCCAGCTTCCGTGTTCCTTACTGCCATAACTACATGGACACCTCGCAGTGCAAGAACACGTGATGTCTCCGCCCCAATACCACTTGAGCCTCCTGAAATATAAACCAAATGAAGCTCGCTATGCATATGTCATTTATCACAAACAATCGTATATGAAGTTCAAGTTAGAGGATGGACCTGTAACAATGGCAGTTAGACCAGTTCCATCAATCCCTTCGGTAACTTCCTCGGCTGTCGACCAGGATGAGAACCCAGATGGTCCTTTCTTGCTAAAGATCCCACCCATTGATGTCACAGACGATGATAGGAAGTTACAAATTTGCAATACAGAGAAACGACGGAGCTAACAACACCACCAGAAGACTGAAGTTATAGTACGTACTCCTGAAATATTGTCAAGGACATTAGAGTGACAGCCAATGCTACTAATTAAGGATATGCCAACAGCAATTAATAGATACGACTTACCAGATTCAATCTGAATAGTTTAAATGTTTATATTAGCAAGTGTAGCATGCATATAGATATAAAAATTCACGTACAGCGAAGCCGCTAAACTGTTGCGATAGTGGTTTGCATGGTGCTTGTTATTTAAAAATAACACAATGGATATCATCATTGTCATTCATGATTTGATAGTAATCTAAGTTAATCATATGCATGCATTACACGACGGTAAAATGATAAAAACGTTCTTACATACTAATTGACACTAAAAATAAATATGTTGCACACAAAACATAAGAAAAATGTGTGTGCATCTATTTCATATTGGTGATAGAGATTCCGAAGAACACGTTATACGATCTCACCCAATACCACTTGCACCTCTTGGGTATTAAACAAATTTTATATTTCAAGTTTTAACATTTTTTTTTTTTGAGAAGAAAGACTTTTATGATACAGATATATAGTTATCTTAGTGTTTGTCAACTATAAATGACACGTGTAAGTTTCTCTCAACAACATTGTATTTGTGATATTCTATCTTAAAATTTGTTTATTTTATAGTTTTTGAAAAATATTTAAAAGTGATTTTAGTCATTTTAAAGTTTACGTTGGTGTTTGCATTTGGATTTAGAATAGATGGGTGCAGCACAATCCCACGATCGTTTATGCAAACACTGTTCGAGAGTTAGAGTTGAAATGAAGAAGTTGATACCGTTTTAAATTAGAGGGCATTTTCATCATTTTCATCAAAGTTGGCTATAAATAGAATGTTTGAGTTAAGAACATCAGGAACCCAATTTCCAAAAAACAGAAACCCAGTTCTCTCTGCTAGACCCGATTGGTGTCCGGGTCAAACCACGAGTGGCCGACCTGACCCGGTTTGTTCTTCCTTGTCCGGCGACCCTTTGTGACGGTGATGCAGAACCCAAAGTCCCATTAATGAGGAGTCATTCATATGGAAATATATGGCTTAATTAAGTTTGAGATTGTCACATTTGTCAAGTTATTTTGGAAGTTGTAAGGCTGGCATAGAAACTTAGGTTTATTAATTGGTAAATCCTTGTAGTAGAAAGCGAATGACAGACTTGTTTAATTAAAAAATATATATTTTCTTTGTGCAGTTATAGTGGATGTTTTCTCCCTCTAAAAATCAAGCGTTTGGTTTGGTCGTGAGTGAATCCACAATTAGCAATATCGGGCAAGATTCGTTGTCCATACTTGAGTGAATCCTGTTTGTACCATACTTGATCAATCCCGAAATTACTGAGTACCGGTCAACGTTATACTGTCAAGGACCCAGAAGAGTTTCCCTCCAACCAGGAGGCCAATCATAGCGCGACACGTGTTGACATCAGAAGCCAATCATAGCGCGACACGTGTCAACATCAGAAGGCAATCACAACACGACACGTGTCAATGTCAGAATAAAACTAAAAACTCTCTTCTATAAATAGAGATCATTCTCTCACAATATTTCCGAATGTCATTTGTACTAAATCATTCACTAGTACTCACTAAATGAGAGCTTAAACCTATGTACTTGTGCAAACCCTTCACAATTAATGAGAACTCTTCTACTTCGTGGACGTAGCCAATCTGGGTGAACCACGTACATCTTGTGTTTGCTTCCCTGTCTCTATTCATTTACATACTTATCCACACTAGTGACCGGAGCAATCTATCAAAGGTCACAAACTTAACACTTTCAGTTGTACCAAAGTCCTCACTGATTTTGTGCATCAACATTTGGCGCCGTCTGTGGGAACGACACTTATTCCCACTCTCTTTAGCTTTGCTAAGCTGGTTTCCACCATTCGTACACTCTCTTTTGACCAGGCATCCATCTCCAACATGAGGAGCGAAGGAAGCCATAGCATACAGAATGACACCCCTCTTGCACCTAGTGCGAAGCAACGAAAGAATGAAGGAAAAAAGGTTGCTCTTCAAGCTAAAGTCGATGAACTAAGCTCAGAACAACAAGATAGCAATGAAGAATAAGGTCCTCCAGGAGCAGTATGAGAAACTCTTTGAGACGCTCCATGAAACTAAGCGTACTCAAACACGCGAGCTCGTTGCCCCTGTGGACATCAACCATCATATAGGTGCCCCCTAACATGGAGGGTCACCTCCCTTGGACAAGGGTATCCCTGATGAGGAGCGAGCTAATCATCAAAACATTGATCAACATGAGACTTCTCTCAACCCATATGCTTCGACCCAAATTAGAAAAAGTGGAGGAAGACACCTCCTTACAGAAGGGTTGGAATGATCGAAAGCCGTTTATCGTGACTGCCGAGATTTCCTAAAGCAACGTCGAGAAAATCCCCTCCACATATGCTCGAAGATCAATGACCCAAGGGTTTCTAAAAGACTCGGTCCTCTTCCACGACCCAAGTCAGCTGTTAATCTAAGGAAGGAACGACAAGTCCCAGAGGAACATGAAGGTACAGAGGACTCTGAGGTATTCCGATAGACTCGCCCTAGAAGTCAGTACGGCGAATCCAAGAAAAAACCACACGCTCTTGCTCAAACTTGACTCTACTCAGGACCCTCTTGTCCTACAACTCTTTGAGGAAGTAAACAAGTTGAAGGCCGAATGTCAGGCCGAGATACCTGACTGGAACCAACCCAGGCCTACAAGAAGGATCCTCGACACCCTTCAAGCGAATACAAAACAAAAGCTTAGCTTACAACTCTATATTGGAATGGAGGACCCAATTGAACACCTTAACCTCTTTGAGTCCACTATGGCATATCGAATCCACACCGACGAAGAACGATGTCTTCTCTTCCCCTCCACCCTCTCTGGCGGAGCTCTAACCTGGTATTGTCGTCTTCCACCTGAGACACTAGACTCATTTGAGGAATTGAGGAAACTGTTTGTCTTTCAACACATCTTCCAGACCGATCACTTGCATTCTGCAGATGGCTTGTACACTATTCGCCAGAAGCCGAACGAGTCACTACGAGAGTATGCTGGTCGCTTCAGCCATGAGTATTATCGCTGCGTTGAGGTAGATGACAAGACCGCCCTCAAGGCCTTCACGGCAAGCCTACATAATTGTTTATTCAAGTACATGATCAATGCCAACACTTGGAAGACTTACTCTGAGGTGATAGCACAGGCTTACAACCACGCCTCCGCTGAAGCAAGGACATACCAAGGGAACCCCCATATGGTTAATCCTTATCAACAAATGGGAAGTGGAAGTCAAGTTCTACCAAGTGAGGAGATATTGGCCATTTAGACACCCATTGCATCATCTCCTGCCTTATTTAGCTACTCGTTAAGTCACCAAATGTATCTGTCTCTTGGTAAGAGGAATGATTTTTACTCTCAGCAAGCCCATTACAACAAGAGGGATAAAAGTTCATATCAAGACAACCAGGGGTGAACGTACCGTCGACTATTATGACTATGGGGCCAAGTATCACTCTTTCAAAGTGGAGGACTAGGTATTGAAAGAAATACTATTATAAGAAGGCATACACATTACAAATGTTTTTACTCTCAACCGTTTGAGATCATTTGTCACATAAGCCATTCGGCAAATATTTAAAGAAGAGGGAATTCAGACAACTTTTTCTGAGTCTTTTGCGTTCCTAGCACTGGAACACTTGGTCTACGCTGACCTACCCTTATACTCCAACTTAGAGCTTCAACATGCGTACTTTGACACAAAGTATGTGATACTAAGTGTTACAACCAACATGGTTCACATATCAAAAGTATGGATCCCTTCATGCATAGCAAAACATTCATAAGCATCACTCATATCAATCAACATAAAACTTATACATTCCAACACATTCATACATAAACATCATACATTCCAACACATTCATACATAAGCCAACTGTGCTTTGAAAGAGTTCAACATACTTTGTGTCATTTGACACTTACTACAATGTGCCTAGACACCTTGCCCTTATTCTCACCAACCAGGTAATGAAATGTAAAGAAGGAACTCATCTTCATGCCACCAACCAGGTGATGAAGTGTACAACCCGTACTCTCATCCTTCATGCCCACCCAAACCTGATGAATGTGTATACAACCCTACTCTTTATGCAACTTGCCACTTATCCAAACCAGGTGAAGAATGCCAAACCAACAACCATTCATGCCACCCAGGTTGATGAAATGTCAAACCCGTACTCTCATTCATGCCACCAATTAGGTGATGTACAACCCGTACTCTAATATCATTTGGCAACTTGCCATTCATGCCACCAACCAGGTGAAGAAGGAACTCATCATCGTGCCACCAACCAGGTGATGAAATGTGATGAAAGGTGATGAAGGAACTCACCTTCGTACCACCAACCAAATGATGAAGGTAACTCACCATTCATTCCACCTACTAGAAGACGAATGGTACAACTTGTACATGTGAACTCCTAGCATTCACAAATAATCAAAAACCCTTAAGCTTGACAACTCAACTAGGGGAGCACTTATGCCCAACAAGAGTTATAGTCACCAACAAAGTCTTATTGCAAGCCAACAACAACTTCAGTGCATAGCATACGAAGATCAAGCTATTCAGCCTTCTTGCATCTGCTTCAGACATTTCCCCTTTGTAACAATGCAAACACTACAACTCGTAGAAAGCTTCACACACTCTTGATCAAGACAGTGTGAAGCAAAACCAATTTATGGTGCCAAGAAGAACTTCATCAAAGGAGTTCAACTACAATTCTCAAAAGCTTCACACACTCTTGATCAAGACAGTGTGAAGCAAAACCAATTTATGGTGCCAACAAGAAACCACAATTCTCAAAAGCTTCACACACTCTTGATCAAGACAGTGTGAAGCAAAACCAATTTATGGTGCCAACAAGAGCTTCATCAATGGAGGGCAATGGAGTGTAACCACAATTCTCAAAAGTTTCACACACTCTTGATCAAGACAGTGTGAAACAAAACCAATTTATGGTGCCAACAAGAGCTTCATCAATGGAGGGGCAACCACAATTCCCAAAAGCTTCACACACTCTTGATCAAGACAATGTGAAGCAAAACCAATTTATGGT